ACATGCCCTTAGCGGGAACCGAACCCGGGTCTCTCCGGACCGCAGGCCGACGCTCTAACCGCTGAGCCAAACCGGCCAGGGCTATATTTTTTAAATTTAACTGGACATTCTGTATGTCCATTTGCTAAATCTAGCAACTTGATCTCTGGCCTGCCCTTTCTAGAAACTGCTGCAGGGCTGCTGCTCTTTCCGCCAGTGGAATTGAATCCCTGCTGAACCATAAACAATCCATACGCGGACAGCTGGGCCAACCAGCTCATTCCATAGCTCGCATTCCTGTCATCTTTGGTAACTGCCCCAAGTGTGAGTTCCCCTAGTCACCTCTCATTTTGTTACTGGCATCCTCAAGCTGTTCTGAGTCTTCTCTTCCCTGACCATACGTACCTCCATTGTTGGACTTGACTCCATCTTTTATGCTCCCTGCCGTCCATCCTGTCACGCTTCCTACTCTCTTTACACTATTAACCAATCTTCCTCTCACTTATTAAAGATTTTGACATCCTCCACACAAGGTCTCTTAAGGCCTACCCTTAGAATTGACACACTGTCCATTCCACTGTATTCTATTATTTAAAACTCTTTTTTTATTGATTTTTAAAGAGAGAGGAAGGGAGAAGAAACTTTGGTGTTAGAGAGAGACATCAATCAGCTGCCTCCTCCTACTGGAGATTGAAACTGAAACCCAAGCATGTGCTCTTACCGAGAAGTGAACTGGCAACCTTCTGGTATGAGACGACTCCCAACCAACTGAGCCACACCAGCCAGGGCTCCACTTCATTCTGTTGTTCAAAGCAAGTCAGGAAGGCCAGCCCAGATTCAAGGAGTGAGGAAATAATAGATTCCACCTTTTTATTTTTGGTACTTGCCCCTAGTGGGAACCGAACCTGGGACTCTCTGGTCCACAGTCAAGGCCCCAACTGCTGAGCCAAACCAGCCAGGGCCCACCTTTTTTTTCTTTTTCCTTTCTTTTGGTAACCATCACCTGAGGATATTTTCCCACTGATTATTATTATTATTATTATTACTATTTTGTGGTACATGCCCCTAGCAGGAACCAAACCCGGGATTCTCTGGTCTGCAGGCTGACGCTCAACTGCTGAGCTAAACTGGCCAGGGCTTTATTATTATTTTTAATCCTCACTCGAGGATATTTTTCTATTTATCTTCAGATAGAGTGGGAGGGAGAGAGAGAGAGAAACATTGATATGAGAGAGAGAAATTGACTGGCTGCCTCTCCCATTACCCTAATCAGAGTCAGGAATGAACTGCAGCCAAGGTGCATGCCCTTGGCTGGTATTGAACCGGTGACCCATTGGTCTGCGGGCTGATGCTCTACTGCTGAGCCAAACTGGCCAGGACTTCCCATTTATTTTTATTTATTTATTTTTTAAATTTCTTTTTCTTTATTGATTTTTAGAGAGAGAGGAAGGGAGAGGGAGAGAGAAACATTGATGGGAGAGGAACATCAATTGGTTGCCTCCCACACAACCCTGACAGGGGCCAGGGATTGAACCTGCGATCCAGGTACGTGCCCTTGACCTAGAATTGAACCCATAACCCTTCATCCACGGGCCAGTGTGCTAACCACTGAACAAAACTGGACAGGGCTTGACTCTACCTTTTGATGGGAGGAGTTGTAAAGTCATATATACAACAGGAAACACAATAAGCACCACCTCTGAGGATAGTCAAATAAAATTTAAAAAATCAAACCTGACTCTAATTTAGCTATCAGTTCATAGGAAATATGAGGAATAGAGAAACAAGTTAAATAACACTATAAGAGCCTGGCCAGCCCGGCTGGTGTTGCTCAGTGGTTAAGCATCAACCCATGCACCAAGAGGTTGCTGGTTCGATTCTGGGTCGGGGCACATTCCCAGGTTGTGGGCCAAGTTCCCAGTGGGGGCATGCAGGAGGCGGCCAATTGATGTTCTCTCTCACTGATGTTTCTCTCTCTCTCTCCCTCTTTCTTCCTCTCTCTCTAAAATCAATAAAGGGAAAAAAAAGGAAAATATCCTCAGGTGAGGATTAAAAAACAAACAAACAAATAAATAAATAAATAAAAAGACTAAAGACCTTTAGAGGTGCCCTGGCCGGTTTGGCTCAGCGGTTAGAGAGTCGGCCTGCGGTCCGGAGAGACCCGGGTTCGGTTCCCGCTAAGGGCACGTACCTCGGTTGCAGTTTGTCCCCGGCCCTGGTCAGTTGTGCGGGTGGCAGCCACTCGATGTGTCCCTTTCATATCGATGTTTCTCTCTCTCTCTCTCTCTCCCTCCTGCTCTATCTGAACAAAGAATGAAAAAAAAAAAAAAAGTGTCCTCGGGTGAGGATAAAAAAAAAATAAAAAAAATAAAAAAAAAAAAAAAGACCTTTAGAGGTACTATTGTATTAGAAAGATACTCATGATATAGTAAGTGGAAAAGCAATCTGAAGAACAATATTATATCAGGAAGTTATTTTTATTTCTTTTAGTTCACCTTTTTAGCCTCTAAAATAATATGTAATTAAAGATATTTACACACATACACACACACAGCTGAAAATACCTACAACCCTAAGCAAAACTTATTTAACCTTTTTTTAAAAAAATGTTTTTGTACCCTGGCCAGTTTGGCTCAGCGGGTGGAGCGTTGGCCTGCAGACCAGAGTCCCAGGTTTGGTTCCTGCTAGGGGCATGTACCAAAAAAAATGGTTTTTGTTTTTGTTTTTGTTTCTTTTTGCCTCACCCGAGGACATTTTTGCATTTATCTTCTGATAGAGCGGGAGGGAGAGAGGGAAGGAGGGAGGGAGGAAGAGAGAGAGAGAATCATGGATGTGAGAGAGACTTCAATTGGCTGCCACCCACGCAACCCCGGGGTAAAAACTGCACCCGAGGTATGTGTCCTTAGCGGGAACTGAACCCGGGTCTCTCTGATCCACGGGCCGACGCTCTAACCGCTGAGCCAAACCGGCCAGGGCTAATCAGCCTTTTTAAAAAAAATCCTCACCAGAGGATATTTTTCCATTTATCTTCTTCAGATAGAGTGAGAGGGAGTGAGAGTGAAAGAAACATCAATGTGAAAAAGACGCATCAACTGGTTGCTTCCTGCACAACCCTGGCCAGGCTGGGGACCGAACTGCAACCGAGGTACATGCCCTTGACTGGAATCGAACCGGTTACTCTTAGGTCCACAGCCGAGAATCTCACCACTGAGCCAAACTGGCCAGGGCTAATTAGCCCATTTTTAAAATAAAAACACAACTTTTTTTTCCCAAATAAGTACTCAACTGCAAGATCCTGGAGGCAATGACTAATCATATTTTTTAACATCTTATTTCCTTCCTGTAGTGCTTAATACACTGCCATGTATCTGTGGATATTCTTCTCAGACAGGTCAAGTGAGTTCTTGTTTCTTTTTATTTTCTTTCTGTTTTCTTATTTTTTCCATCACCATTTATCAGTCCTATACCCTTCTGCACCTCCACCCATCCCCAGTTCTTGTTTCTTTTTTTTTTTTTTTTTTAATTTTTTTTTTTAATTGATTTTAGAGAGAGGAAGGGAGAGGGAGAGAGAAACATGGTCAAGAGACAATATCGACTGGCCACCTCCTGCATGCCCCCACTGGGGATCGGGCCCACAACCTGGGCATGTGCCCTGACCGGGAATCAAACTGGTGACCTCTTGGTGCATGGGTCGATGCTCAACCACTGAGCCACATTGGCCGGGCTAAATCAAATTCTTTAATAAAGTTGGGAGACTTGTACTTAAGGATGGGACCTAATGACCTGGTGATTGATTGTTTTTAAGGATTTTCTTCTTTTTTTTTTTTAATCCTCACCCGAGGGCATTTTTCCATTTTTTGTTCTGATAGAGTGGGAGGGAGAGAGAGGAACAGAGAGAGAGAGAGAAACATCGATGTGAAAGGAACACATCGAGTGGCTGCCATCCACACGACTGAGCAGGGCCGGGGACAAACTGCAACCGAGGTACGCGCCCTTAGCGGGAACCGAACCCGGGTCTCTCAGGACCGCAGGCCGACGCTCTAACTACTGAGCCTAACCGGCCAGGGCTTAAGGTTTTTCAATGGAATGTGCAGTAGCTGTGAGAAGTGCAGTACCATACCTGACAGCCTCAGTATAACACCATGATTTTTTAAAAATATGTTTTTATTGCTCTGGCCGGTTTGGCTCAGTGGTTAGAGTGTCGGCCTGCGGACCAGAGAGACCCGGGTTTGGTTTTTGCTAAGGGCACGTACCTCGGTTGTAGTTTGTCCCCGGCCCGGGTTGGTCGTGCGGGTGGCAACCTCTCGATGTGTCTCAATGTGTCCCTTTCACGGTGATGTTTCTCTCTCTCTCTCTCTCTCTCTCTCTCTCCCCCACTCTATCTGAACAAAATGGAAAAATGTCCTCGGGTGAGGATAAAAATATATTATATATATATATATATATATATATATACACACACACATATATGTTCTTATTGTTTTAGGGAAATACTTTACTTACTCTTACTGTATTCCATTCTATTCTATTATCAAGGATACAAATGAACAGCCAGATGAAGAAGCACATAAGTCGAGGTCAGGAAGCATCCCAAGCATAGGAGCTTCTGTCCCTGTGTGGTGGTGAGAGTGGATGCCCTCACCAACCTGAAGCTCTCTGAACCCCATTGTTTGTAGTTTTTACAGCTGTTCCTTTCCTAGGCATGATTCTGTCACTGGTCATTTGTGATGAACTCAATCTCCAGCCTCCGCCCATCCCTGGAGTTTAGGAATAAGTGAGGTTGAAAATTCCAGCTCTCTAATCATATGATTGGTTCCTCTGGCAACAACCTCACAACTGAAGCTCTCTAGGGGACCTGCAAGAGTCATAGCATAAACTCAGGTGTGGTTGAAAGGGGCTTACTATAAATAACAAACTCCTTACCTCTATTACTTGGTAAACAACCAGTGTTTTAGGAGCTGTGTGCCAGAAATGAAGGACAAAGACCAAATACATATTTCTTACTATATCGAGATATTACAGTGCTTCTTTTGACAGCACATATACTAAAATTGGAGCCATATAGAGAAGATTAGCATGGCCCTTTTGCAAGGATTACACGCAAATTCGTGAAGCATTACAGAAAGAAAGAAAGAAAGAAAGAAAGAAAGAAAGAAAGAAAGAAAGAAAGAAAGAGAAAGAAAGAAGGAAAAGAAAAAAGATATCTCCGTGTTTCTAGGAATTTGTTTATTTCATTTGTTATCCAATTTATTGGCTTACTATTGTTGATAATACTCTCTTAGAATCCTTGTTTCAGTAAGGTCGGTATAATTTCCACACTTTCATTTGTGATTTTAGTGATTTGAGTCTTTTCTTTTTCTTAATCTAGCTTTTTCAATTTTGTTGCTATTTTCAAAGAACCAACTTTTGGTTTGTTGATTTTCTTTTTTCAACCTATTTGCTTTTATTTATTTATTTTTTAAGTTTTATTGGATTGAATTCAAGCTTTTGGCAGGAGACTCTGGAGAAAGAGCCTGTTTCCTTACCATTTCCACCTTCTAGACTGTAGGGCTTTCTCTTCCTCCATCTTCAAAGATGGCATTGGCTGAATGGCTGGTTGAGATTTTCTCATGCCCTATCACTTTTTTTTTATCCTCACCCGAGGACATTTTTCCATTTTTTATTCAGATAGAGTGGGAGGGAGAGAGAGGAAGAGGAGAGAGAAACATCGACATGAAAGGGACACATCGAGTGGCTGCTTCCTGCATGACCCAACCAGGGCTGGGGACAAACTGCAACCGAGGTACCTGCCCTTAGTGGGAACCAAACCCGGGTCTCTCTGGACCGTAGGCTGACACTCTAACCGCTAAGCCAAATCGGCCAGGGCTCAACCTATTTTCTATTTTATTTGGCTTCATTTTAATCTTTGTTATTTGTTCCTTCTGCTAGTTTTGGCTTTAGTTTGTTCTTTTTGTGGTTCCTTAAGGTGTTCAGTTAGGTTATTAACTTAAGCTTAAGATACTTTTTCTAAAAAATTCCTCACCTGAGGATATTTTTTTTACTTATTATCAGATAGACTGGGAGGGAGATGGACAGAGAGAAACATTGATGTGATAGAGCCGCATTGACTGGTTGCCTCCTGCACGACCCGACCAGGGCCAAGGACAAACCGCAACTGAGGTATGTGCCCTTGACTGGAATCGAACTCACGACTCATTGGTCCTTGGGCTGACACTCTAACCACTGAAGCAAACCGGCCAGGGCAGATTCTTCTTTTACTTTCCTCACCCGAGGACATTTTTCCATTTTTTGTTCAGATAGAGTGGGAAGGAGAGAAAGAGAGAGAAACATCCATGTGAAAGGGACACATTGAGTGGTTTCCACCCACACGACCCAACCAGGGTTGGGGACAAACTGCAATTAAGGTAGGCGCCCTTTCGGAAACCGAACCTGGATCTCTCTGGACCGTAGGCCGACACTCCAACCACTGAGCCAAACCAGCCAGGGCAGATTCTTGTTCTTCTTCTTCTTCTTTTTTTTTTTTTTTTTATCCTTACCTGAGGACATTTTTGCTTGAGGGGGAGAGAGAGAGAGAGAAACATCAACATGAGAGAGACACATCGACTGGTCACCACCCACACGACCCCAACTGGGGCCAGGGACAAACTGCAACTGAGGTACGTGCCCTTAGCGGGAACTGAACCCGGGACTCTCTGGTCTGCGGGCCAATGCTCTAACCACTGAGCAACCAGCCAGGGCAGATTCTTCTTTTTTCTTATATTAATAATTTTTTTTTAAATTCTTACTGGAGGAAATTTTTGCATTCATCTTCAGATAGAGTGGGAGGGAGAGAGAGGGGAAGAGAGAGAGAGAAACATTGACGAGAGAGACACATCGAGTGGTTGCCACCCACACGACCCAAACTGGGTCCAGGGACAAACTGCAACTGAGGTACGTGCCCTTACGGGAACCGAACCCGGGACTCTCTGGTCCACAGGCCGATGCTCCAACCGCTGAGCCAAACCGTCCAGGGCAATAATTTTTATTTATTGATTTTAGAGAAAGAGGAGAGAGAGGGAGAGAGATATAGAAACATCGATGAGAGAGTATCGATTGGCTGCCTTCTGTGGGGACTGGGCCCACAACCTGGGTATGTGCCCTGACTGGGATCAAATGGTGACCTCTTAGGTTCATGGGTCGACACTCAACCACCGAGCCACACCAGCTGGACCTAAATAACACTTGAAATAAGAGATGGGTCAAAGAAGAAATAACAAGGGAAATTTAAAAATGCCTTGAGATAAAAACAAGCACAATAGCTCTGACCCGTGTGGCTCAGTTGGTTGGGCTTTGTCCTGTGCACCAAAAGATCACTGGTTTGATTCTGAGTCAGGGCACATGCCTGGGTTTCTGGCTTGATTCCCTGTAGGGGGTGTGCAGGAAGTAGGCAGCCAGATTGATGTTTTTCTTTCTCCCTTCCTCACCTCTCTCTCAAGAGTCAATAAAAACAGCGCTGCTCAGTGGTTCGAGTATTGACCCTTGAACTGAAGGGTCTCAGGTTTAATTCCCAGTCAAGGGCATATACCTGGGTTGCAGGTTCAATCCTCTCCCCGGTCAGGGGGTGTGAGGGAGGCAACCAATCCACGTGAGAGACACATCAATGTTTCTCTCGCTCCCTTCTTCTCTGTCTCCCCCCCCTCCTTCCCTCCCTTGCATATAACCTATATTTGCATATAGGCTACAGCAGGTTATGCCTACACCACTTCATTCATGTGGATTCAACACAGTGCTCAGTGCTCAGTGTGTGGCAAATTTAAGTTTTGCTTTTTGGAACCTTATAGGATTAAAAACATTCAAATGTTTGGTCGAAGCTGTGGATGAGAAATCCATGGATGAGAAATTTGTGGATAAGGAGGGCTGACTGTATTTGTTCAATTTCCAGTTTTCATTTTGTGATTAATTTCTAGTTTTTTTTTTTTTTTTTCTTCTATTTTTTTTTGTACGTGCCCCTAGCAGGAACCGAACCCGGGGCTCTCTGGTCTGCAGGCTGACGCTCCAACTGCTGAGCCAAACCGGCCAGAGCTCTAGTTTGTTTTTTTTTACATTTTTTTCCTTTTTTGATTTGAGAGAGAGAGGAAGTGAGAGGGAGAGAGAGACAGAAACATTGATGAGAGAGAACATCGATTGGCTGCCTCCTGCATGACCCCCAATGGAGATCGGGCCCACAACCTTGGCATGCGTCCTGAACGGGAATCAAACTGGCGACCTCTTGGTGCATGGGTTGACACTCCACTACAGAGCCACTCTGGCTGGACATAATTTCTAGTTTTTAAAAAGGTTTTATTTATTGATTTGAGAGAGAGGAAAGGAGAAAGAGAGAAAGAGAAACGTTTGATATGTTGTTCACCTATCTATGCATTCATTGGTTGATTCTTTTGTTTTGTTTTGTTTTTTATCCTCACCAGAGGATATTTTTTCATTTATCTTCAGATAGAGTGGGAGGTAGGGAGGGAGAGGAAAAAAGAAAGAAAGAAACATCAATGTGAGAGGGACACATCTGAAAGTGTTAGTAACGTTTTATTTATATTTTATTCCTCACTCAAGGATATTTTTCCATTTATCATCAGACAGAGTGGGAGGGAGGGAGAGACAGAGAGACAGAGAGAAACATTGATGTGACAGAGACCCCTGGCTGGTTTGGCTCAGCAGTTGGAGCGTCAGCTTGCAGACCAGAGAATCTCAGGTTCAGTTCCAGCTAGGGGCATGTACCAAAAAAATTATAATGAAGATGTGATAGAGCCACATCAACTGGTTGCTTCCTGCATGACCCAACCAGGGCTGGGACGAACTGCAAGTGAGGTACGTGCCCTTGACCAGAATTGAACCCAAGACTCATTGGTCGTCAGGCCAACGCTCTAACCAGCCAGGGTGGGTTAGTAACATTTTAAAGGGTAAAGTTAAAGCTTACAAAAGGTGGAAACTGTGAAAAATGTGTTGATTGTATGACCTTTGCTCAGCCTTCTGTTAAGTATGAATTTGACCTTTGCTCAGCCTCCTGTTGGGTAGGGAATGTCGAATTATCCGCAAAACAATCTATCACCCAGCAGATGCAGGACAAGATACCAGACCAGTCCAACTGCAAAGTGGACAATGGGTCATGCAGAGTACATCAGCAGGAACTGCTGGAAACTAGAAGCAGAGTATATAACAGAGTATATAACCTATTCTCCAACTCTTATTCGGGACTGACTCCCTTTTCGGGCTCAGCTCCCCTGCATCTAGGCGCATAGAATGAAATTGTTTTGCTCTACGTGGCCTTTCATTGTGGATGTGATCTCCCACTGGCTCAAATCTTTTAACATAACTGATTGCCTCCCACACAACCTTGACCAGGGCTGGGGATTAACCACAACCGAGGTACGTGCCCTTGACCAGAATCGAACCCGAGACTCATTGGTCCGAGGGTTGACACTCTAACCGCTGACCCCAACTGGCCAGGGCCATTGGTTGATTCTTGTATGTGCCCTGACTGGGGATCAAACCCATAACCTTGGTACATTAGGACAATGTTCTAACTAACTGAGCTACTGGGTCAGGGCTAATTTCAAGTTTCATTCCATCGGTGATAGGAAAAGATACTTTGTATCACTCCAATCTTTTAACATTTATTAAGGCTTGTTTCATAGTTTAACACATGGTCTCCAGTTTCTCAACTGTACTGATGAACATGAAGCTTCAGAGGTGAAATGCCTTGCTTGAGGTATAAATAAGTAAATGTGTATTTATTAAGTTATAGAATTAGGACTAGAAGCCAGATGTTTTTTTGTTTTGTTTTTTATCCTCACCCAAGGACATTTTTCCATTTTTTGTTCAGATAGAGTGGGAGGGAGAGAGAGAGAAACATCGACGTGAAAGGAATGCATCAAGTGGCCGCCACCTGCACGACCAACCAGCGCCAGGGACAAACTGCAACCGAGGCACGCGCCCTTAGCGGGAACCGAACCTGGGTCTCTCTGGACCGCAGTCCAACGCTCTAACCGCTGAGCCAAACCGGCCAGGGCTGAAGCCAGATGTTTTGATTCTCAGTCTTTTACCATTGAAATTTGATGTTTGTTCCAAACCTGGGGGTTGAACAACCCTGTTACAAGG